ATTGGGGTAAAAAAGTCCCCAAGAAGACACTTTGGGGGGCCTCCCAGGAGAGTGGGCAGAGGGAAGGGGGTCCCTATGCTCTCGAGCCTGGCCCAGAGAAGGCTGGGGACAAATCCCGGTCCTGGCCCTCAGCGGGGCAGGCGCATGGGGTGGGGGGAGCAGGGAGGGCTGCCAGCCTGGCACAGAGAGCCCCGTGGTATGTGGGGAGACAGTGTGCCCAGACCAGGGCCTGCCGCTCTACGTCCTGCCCTGCCACGCTGGGATGTCACAAGTGAGGGCACAGAGCTTCAAAGAGGATCCCATCTGTGCACCTGCGGGCAGGCGGACACCGGGTTCTCCCCTCCCCAACACCCTGTCTCTGCCTCCTCTGTGCCCAGCCAGGGCCTGGTGCTCGGGGAGCCATCCCACTGCTGGCCAAAGGGTGGGACTGGTGCCTCCACATGTGGACAGTTTCGCAGGACAGGGAGCTCCTGGTCAGCCACCCTGCAGCACACGAGCGCTGCCGTAGGTGACACTGTGGGTGCGCGGTGGCACCTGCAGGTGCCGAACGGCCTGCTGGGGAGAGGGTTGGGCTGCGGTCACATGCTCAAACCCCAGATTAGCCGTGCAGGTCATCTTATCGCCTTCTCCAGGGGGACGTGGGGTCTCCTGAAATCCATGCCTCCTGGTGAGGCGTGTGCCACAGCCCCAGCCCTGCCGGCCACCTCGCCCGGTCCCCAGGCGCCGGGTGCTGTGGGGCCCCGACTGCAGGCCCCGGAGCCGCTGCTCACGTTTGCTAATGAAGTGAAGGGCAGGGCGGACCCGCACACACCGGCTGCTTCTGGCCATGCTGGGAACCGTCACGAGCTGTGATATTTTGGAAACATGAACTCGGTGTCAAAGAGTGTGGCCGGCCCTCTGCCTCAGCTGCCTGGTGCCCTGGCTGCTATATTTTGGTGACTGAACCTTTTTAGCCTGCAGCATGTCACTTCCAGGGCGTTTTGGACCAAAAACCCAGCACGTACAGGCTATTCTTATCAGCTGTCCAGGGACGCCTGGTGTGCCTGGGGGCCCGGCCTGTGCCCCCCGTGTCCCCGGGCTGGAGTGCTTGCACCCGCCTGGCCCATTCGCGTGGTCCAGCTCACGTCCACCCTTCCACACACCCGCCGCAGCGCAGGCCTGGACGTGCCCCGGCAGTGGCCACGGGGGCCTGGTCCTCTGCCCACCAGGCCCAGCCACCCACGCTCTGCAGCACCTGCCTCCCCGGTGCCCCATGAGGCGGCGCGGTGGCCCATGTGTGCGTGAGGAGGCCGCGCCTGAGAGCAAAGGACTCAGCCTGGACACAGCCTGCGCCTGGGCCGGCCAGCTCTGGCTCCGAGGCCCCGGGCACTGTGCTGGGTCACTGGGCTGCTGGGACCTCACTCGGCCCTTCAGCCTGTGCGGACTGTCCCTTAGTCACATGGAGCCTGCTTCTCAGCCCCCGGCAAGACAGGGGTCCCCGAGGGTGGCCGGCCCTTCCTCACTCCCCCTGCCCAGCGTCTGGGGCCCTCTGCCCCCGACAGGCAGCCCTGCCACAGGCTGGGGACACCCTGTGCCCACATGCTGGGGTCTAGCTGCCTGTTCCTGTCCCACCACCTGCCCCTGCAGGTGGAGTGTGTTTGAGAGGCCACGCCCTGCTATTTTTAGCACTTTCTCCAAGGTTGCTGTAAACACCCTGGCCCAGCCTTCTCTGCCCTGGAGACCTCCCCTCCCCAGCGCAGTGTGGCTGTCACTCATCCTTGCAAGGCCTGGAGGGGAGTCCCTGAACCCTCCCCTGGCAGTCTCTCCTGCCGCAGCCCGGTCCTCAGCCCCCTGAGTCAGCGATTTCTCCCTGGGGCAGTAGGCGCTGGGGCACGGCTCAGGCTGGACCGGGCCACGCTTGCGGGCTGCAGCAGAGTATCCCACGCTAAAAAGCAGGGCCCTGTATGTGAGCCCAGTGTGTCCCTGTGCTGCCACCACTGCGATCCCAGGAGAGCAGCCGGCCACTGCCAGGCACCCCGCACTGTGTGTGGCAGCAGCCCGGTCAGCTTTGGGCAGATGCGAGCCTGTGTTGGGTGTCCCCCGTTTTGCACGTGATCTTTAATGTATCAGCGTTTCGCTGTTTGTTGAGACAACCCAGGCAACATCTTGCAGGCACTAATCCGGGGGCTGGAGCTCTGGGGAGAGGGGGAAGGACAGCGGCAGCCCACTAGTGCCTGTCCCCACAGCCTTGGTGGCGCCTGTGTGGAGGGGACCCCCTAATCTTGGTGCCCCGGCTTGTACCGCAACATGAGGCTGCTAACCTTTGTGCCTGGGACTCTTCCTGTCCACTCCTGTTTGTTCCCCGGAGCAGCTGCGGCCTAACCTCTTCCACCCACCGCGGCTTGCCTGGCGACAGGGGGGCGCTGCGTGTGCACAGGCAGAACATTCTGGTTGTGCTAGAATTAGCTGGGAAACAGCAGGGAGCGTGGTTTGAGATATCTGAATATTTGTGGCTGTGCAAACCCAGAATCAACAAATAATAATCAGCAAATCAACAAAAATTATACCAACGATCAACAAATAATACACCAGGAATCCACGGGAATGAGCGCAGCTCGGCGCCACGGCGTTCCTCGGCTCACTTCTGTCCCTTCCCCGAGTTCACCGCGCACTTGCTCACAGCCCAGGCCACGGCGGGCGGCCCTGAGGAGCCTGCCCAGGCGGCTGTGCCGGGTGGGGCCCGGTCCCGGCAAGCGCGGCTGCAGAGCAGAGTCTGGTAGGACCAGGTGCGGGCGTTTTCCTGGGAGGTGGCCCTGGGAAGCAGGGGACTGGACGCTGGTGGCAGTGGGATGACGGAGCTGGTCACCTCTGTGGGCACGCAGGCTCAGTCCCCCCAGGGACCCTACGGACTCATGTGTCAGCATCTCGGGACAGCCGACCAGAAGGTGGGGGCTGGGCGTGTCCCACTGACTCCTGACCCAGGGTTGAGGGCTGCCCATGGGGTGACAACACTCTGGAACTTTCCACTGTAAGGGGTCCTTCTTGGCTTCAGACAAACCAGGAACCCCAAGGGTCAGAGCACAAGAGGCCCAGCTTGTTAAAGGTCAACAAAACCCTTAAAAAATCCAGGACTGAGGCCGGGCACGGTGGCTCAGGCCTGTAATCCTAGCTCTCTGGGAGGCCGAGGTGGGCGGATTGCTCGAGGTCAGGAGTTCGAAACCAGCCTGAGCAAGAGCGAGACCCGTCTCTACTATAAATAGAAAGAAATTAATTGGCCAACTAATATATATAGAAAAAATTAGCCGGGCATGGTGGCGCATGCCTGTAGTCCCAGCCACTCGGGAGGCTGAGGCAGGAGGATCGCTTGAGCCCAGGAGTCTGAGGTTGCTGTGAGCTAGGCTAATGCCACGGCACTCACTCTAGCCTGGGCAACAAAGTGAGACTCTGTCTCAGAAAAAAAAAAAAAAAAATCCAGGACTGGGAAGCCTGGGTCCTGCAGGGACCCCCTCTGTCCCCTGCTGAGCTGTCATCAGCAGGATGAGGGAATGGTCACAAGGATCACAAATGGTCACAAAGCACAGGACCCCCACCAGCCCCGCCTGTGAGGATGAGGACAGGCGTCCCATCGGGGCCCAGGTGCGGGGAGAGAAATCAGGGCCCGGGGTGCTGCGGGGCCGGGGTGGGGCTCCTGAGTGACTCCCTGGGGCCGCTGGCGCACGTTGCAGCGTTGTCAGAGCGGGAAGGCGGTGGGCGCGTCGTCTGAGAGCATTTGCGTTCAGTGCTCTGGCAGCCGAGCTCAGCCCCCAGCGCCACGCCCAGAGCTGTGTGACCCTGGGCAAGGCACCTCCCCTCTCTGGACCTCAGCGTTGCCATCTCTAAAGCGGAGATGATGGAATCTCCCCTGCGGGTTGCAGTGAGGACTGGGGGGAGGGGGTAAACACGGGTGCTCAGTGGGAGAGGCCCCGTGGTCTTCATGGTTGTCACTGTCATCGTTGGCATCAGTTGGACAGACTGCCCTTTCTTCTCAGCCACATGCACAGCTCCTCCTCCCCATGCATAGGGCCATGGCTGATCAGCCCCCCTGCCCCCTGGTGGCCCCTCGCCACGCTCCCTTCCTTCTCCCCTGGGAAGGGCCATGACCAGGCACAGGCTCTCCTAGTCGGGGGTGGGGCAGGCGATGGGCTGAGGTGGGAAGGGCCCGAGGGCACGGGAAGCAGCCCTTTTTAACCCAGAGCCAACACAGGAAAAGCGAGCATTCATGGGTTTTCATTCTCCAATTCACAGACAAAGCTTGTGTCCTCCTATAAATACGATTCTGGAGGAAGCGGCTTGCTGCCAAGCCGCGCGTTCTCCTGGGGGTAACCAAGAGTCTGGGGGCCCAGGCTGCTCTGCCCCGTGCCGGCGACGTGGCTGCAGCCTGTTTCCAGGGCCACTTGTGGGCTGGAGGGCAGGGCAGCCCGGGGAACCCTCTGGAGCAGGACACCTGATTCCACACTTTAACCCTCTGCCGCCGCAGACCTCGGCTCTCAGCAGAGCCGCTCCCCACCCCCGTCCACCTGCCAACCAGGGCCCAGGCACCACGGCCACCTCCCAGCCTCGGCACCAACATGGACCCCTGTGCCAGGCCATGGGGACCCTCTCTGTTCCCCACCGGAGGCCCCTGCCCTTTCCCGAGTCCTCCCTGGGCCCTATCTGCTGCACGTCACTGGTTCTGCCACTTCCTCACAGACTCGGGCTCAGGGCACCCCTTCCCAGCACCCCAGCCCTTCCCAGATGCCACCCTGTCGCTGACCCACCCTCACCCCCACACTTCCCAGGAGCAGCCTCCCTGCTACCTGGAGGATTCCGGCCCCACCCTCCAGGGAAGTGGTTTTGTCTGAGGTCACCTGGAACCTCCCGTTGGACAAGTGCAGCTCTGGTCCTGTTGGCCCTCACGGCCCTGGAGTGCGAATTAGAAAAGGGGCATCCCCATCCTCAAGACGGTTTGGCTCATGTGACAGAGAGTGGTCATAGCATACTGATTAATTAGAATACACTGCTGTATTCAGTTCCAAGATGACTACCTTGAGAATGGCACCCCTTAGCTGTGTGCCCCTGTGCAGTGCACCACCTGTGTAGCCTTACAGGGCGGCCCTGGAAGGGCACTTTGCAGTCCGCATCCTGCTCTTCCTTGGAGGCATCTAATGCATTGGCTCATTTAACGGTGCATTGTGGATCATGCCGGTGCATGGCCGTCGGTGAGATTTGCAAAGATCCCTACCCTGTGCCCACCCAGTGCCCTGCCTGGCTCCCAGTAGGACATCAAAAAGTATGGACGAATGACCTTCAGAGTGCACAGCATGAATGAGACTCCTGTAAGGAACGTTTGGAACCAAGCCAGCAAGTGAAGGGTAGACATAATATACACCTGTGCCTCAGAGTGTGCAGAGAAAAGAACATTGAATCGCTCCACCTTGTTGGATCTTTCTTCCCTTCTCTCTGTTGTCCATCACAGCAGCAGCACCCACAGGACATCTCCATTCCCGCCACAAGGCAGCGATGGCCATGAAGGGACCCACCCGGAGGACCCAGGCGGGACGTCCCACAAACAGGTGCTGGCTGAGTTCTGCTCCAAGCTCTGGCTTTTTGAGGTGGTGAGCTCACCGTGGTCCATCAAGGCCGCATTCCACATCCTAAGTATAGATGAAGTTGCATTCTTGGAATATACATAGATCCTTATTTTGGGGTTGGCCTGTTGGTGCCAACGTCTGATGTCCACGTGATTTCTTTCCACTGTCTACGGATCGGCAGGATGGTGATTATGTTGGGAAGGGCAGCACGTTGGCCTGTCACCATGAACGGCCTGGCCCGAGAGAAGAAGTGAATTTAGAAAGTCCAGCATCGGCAAGTCAACCTGGTGACGGAGAGCACAGGGAAGAGCCAGTGGCCCCAGGGAGTCACCTGAGGACATCACAGGGCCAAAAACCCTTTTTCATTTATTTTGATGGGCGGAATTTAGTTTTAATTATTTCAGAGAATACTTCATGAGATATTTTCAAAGAGAAATGAGATCTTAATCATCTGAGCTCTCATTACAGTCCTCAGCTATTAAATCTTTATAAATCTCTGTTGGACGTGCAGAAGAGGCAGCTGGGTCTGGAGGACTGTGAACTTGGAGCATGAGTGAGCAGAAAGTGGTGGCTCGAATGTGTTGGAGGCTCCATTTCCCCTCCTGGGGCCCTGAGATCAAGGATAGGGGCTGCTCCCCAGGTGAAGTCATGGCATAGAACAATTCTTTCTTTCTTTTTTTTTTTTTTTGAGACAGCGCAGTCCTCACTTTGTGCCCAGGATAGAGTGAGTGCCGTGGCATCCCCCTAGCTCACAGCAACCTACAATCCCTGGCTCAAGCAATCCTGCCTCAGGCCTCCCGAGTAGCTGGGACTACAGGCATGCGCCACCATGCCTGGCTAATTTTTTTCTATATATATTAGTTGGCCAATTAATTTCTTTCTATTTATAGTAGAGACGGGGTCTCGTTCTTGCTCAGGCTGGTTTCAAACTCCTGACCTCGAGCAATCCGCCTGCCTCGGCCTCTCAGAGTGCTAGGATTACAGGCGTGAGCCACCTCGCCTGGCAAACAATTCTTTTTTTTTTTTTAATTTTTTTTGAGACAGAGTCTCCCTCTGTTGTCTGGGCTAGAGTGCCGTGGTGTCAGCCTGGCTCACAGCAACCTCAAACTCCTGGGCTCAAGCAATCCTTCTGCCTCAGCCTCCTAAGTAGCTGGGACTACAGGCATGCGCCACCATGCCCAGCTAATTTTTTCTATATATATTTTTTAGTTTGCCAATTAACTTCTTTCTATTGTTTTAGTAGAGACAGGGTCTCACTCTTGCTCATGCTGGTTTTGAACTCCTGACCTTGAGCAATCCACCTGCCTTGGCCTCCCAGAGTGCTAGGATTACAGGCTTGAGCCACTGCACCTAGCCCATAGAACAATTCTGACAATGACAGTTGATGATGAGGGGAAGCTGAGGCAGGAGCGGACACAATCACCAGAATCTGACAGCCTGCCCGAGGAGACTTGGAAACTGTCCTCCATAAACCTGGCTTAATTTCACTCCTGCTAAAGTTAACCCCTAAAATTGGGGCGGTTCAGCAACTCAATGGAGAGGTTGAGTTTGAATTATTTTTACTACCCGAAAGTAAATGGCGCACATCCCGCTGGCTGTGCACGTCATTGGGCCTTAATTCTGTACCCCTGATTCATGCTTCCCTCTTTTGAGCTTCTCGGGCTCACAGAAACTGGGGAAAGCCTAGGGCCCCCGAGGACCCACCAGGCCTCTGGTCACCATGCTGCTTCCTGCTGGAGAGGAATGCCCAGTGAGGGCCTTATGGGTGGATTTTTCATCTCAGTTTGAGTCCTTTGTCCTCACTTCAAAGGTCCCCATCCCTGAAGTGCCTCCCCACCGCCACATCTCTCAGGGTCCTCCCAGGATATGCTACAGGGTCTAAAACTGCCCAAGCCCTGCTCATCACAGGCCTTTCTTCCCAGGTCCACTCTCTTTGGGCCCCCTGCCCTGGGCATCTGAGCCAGCTCAGTGCCCCCCAATGTCTAGCCAGTCATCACATGCTATCGATGACAGATCCTAAGCCCATCTCAGGTCAACGCTGATCTCTCACCTGCTGGCTGCAGGCCTGGCCTCTACTCAGACCCTCAGCATCACTGCCCTCTGGCCTGGTTGTCGGTCATGGTGGCAGCCCACTCTGTCCATGGCTACCTCGGTCCATAGTGCCAGGAGTTCCCTTCCTGAGAGCATCTGAGCAGCCTGTCACACAGGTCTTCAGCCTGGACCCCACAGGACAGGATTCATGCCTAGTTCTGACCTACCTGCATGCCCAGAAATGACCACCATGGAGCCCTGCCGACTCTCCCTCTGCGTCCCGAGTGCATGACACCCTGGTGTTTCTCTGCCCCAGCCCATCTTGGGTCTGCTGCCTGAAGACCCCTTCTCTCCTCCTGAGCCTAGAGGCCCCAGCGGATCTTGAGAGGCAGCTTAAGTATCACCTCCTTTGCGAAGCCTTAGGACCTCGATGAATGTTACAGAATAAATGAATGAATTCTCCTCCAAAAGAGGTAGAATAAGCACTGTGTTCTCCGGTCACTTGCCACCATCATCTTGGAATCATAGCACATCTGAGATGGAGGCACATGACAATTCATTGATGATAGGGAAACTGAGGCAGAGGTGGAACCAGCCCCAAGCCTCCTGATTCCCAGGAAAGGGAAGAGTCTACAAGAACAGTGTTTCCTGAAGGGGACCCCCCAGACTGTAGACCCAGACTTTGGGGTTCCTCATGGCTGAAGCAAATGCCTCTTGCAGGTCTTCCCCCTGAATGATCCTCCCCAAGGGACCGTCCAGGGAGAAGAATGTGACACCAGCTCAGGGCTCTGGTGGCTTCTTAGGAATACCTTTGAGAAGAGTCTGAGGGTCACAGTGTGAGCGGATTCTGATACCCTCTCTTGTTTGGTGTCAAGGATAAGGCACTCAAAGGAAAAATTCAAGTTCATGGCAATGTTTTCACACAACTCTTTTTTTCTTTTCTGGCAATCAATGCCAGAGCCTGACACTCATCACAGTCTGAGAAGAAATACACTCTGCAAGCACATGTTGGAAATAAGAGTGTGTGCTCCCAGGAGTAAGTAACCCAAGGGCTTAATTAGAAACCTACTTGGAAAGCATGCCTGCCTGCATCGCTGTGCTGATTAGACACTCCGTATCAGCAAACCCCCCAGTCCTTATGCTTCAGGACTCCTTGCACCTTCCCGCCCTGTCGGCTAGGACGATTTCAGACAACTGGAGACATGATAAGGAAAGCAGGTGGCCCTTCCCATGGAAGGGCAGCTCCAGGCTGACCATTCTGGCCCCTCAGTGGTATCCTGAAGGCATCTCTCACCCTTTCACTCATGGTTCTGTGTGCCACCTGCAGACCCAACCATCAGCAGCAGTAGGAGGTCATCTTTGCCTCCTGTGTTTTTATCAGCCTAGAAAGCTTTCCCAGCATTCCTCAGTAGCCATTCCCCTCATATCTCATTGGCTACGGTTGGGTCACATGCCCCATACTAAGCCAGTCATTGTGTAGGAGAACCATTGGCTTAGCCAATCAGAGCCTACCTCCGAGGCACACAGGCGGTGCCTGGACCCCGGGGCAAACCCCGACTTGTCAGCAGGGAAAGAGGGGAGGCTGCTGGTTTTGTGTGGGACCTGCAAGCCTGTCACCCACGTCCTCTTGCTGGTTCTGCCACAGGCTTTCATAACAGCCACCTCTAACCTGTCATGGTGGGGCCCTTGGATGTCACTGTCCCCTGACAGTGTCTGGGTCAGCCAGAGGTCCTGGCGGGAGGAGAAGGCTACTTCTAGAAGTTTCTAGGCATCTCCACACCAGTCCATTGAGTGCTGCCCGCGGTCTCCCCTCACCATCCTGTGTCCGGGATGTGGGCTGGTCCGGTGTGGACTTCTCAGGAGCTGGGCCTCCCTTCCTGCCGTGGCCCCCTGTCCGGCCTTGTGCACAGACAGCCCTCCCCGCAGCCAGACGGCACCAGCACGGCCTTGCCCTGACCGCCGGGGATATGGGCTGGGATTCCAACCCAGGACTTACACTGTTGCCCACACCTATCCAGATGAAAGTCCCTTTTAAAAATTGAATATGATTCACATGCCATAAAATTCACTATTTTGAGATATACAACTCAGTAGTTGTTTACAAGTTTGTGCAACCACCACCACAATCAATTTTAGAACGAGTTCCTACCCTAAAAAGAAACCACGTACCCGTTAGGGATCACCGCCTAATCCTCTCCCAGCAGCCCCTGGCAACCGCCAATCTACTTTCCGTCTCTATGGGTTTGCCTGTTCTGGACATTTCGTGTGATATGCGGTCCTCTGTGACTGGCTTCTTTCACTTAACATAATATTTCATCCTTGTTGGAGCTGATGTCAGAGCTCTATTCCTTTTACTGCCAAATAACGTCCCACTGTATGGATGGTCCACATTGTGTTTATCTGGCCGATGGACACTTGGGTTGTTTCTACATTTGAGGTATTGTGAATAATGCAGCTGTGGACATCTGTGTGCGTGTTTTTATGTGGAAAGATGTTTTCATTCTTCTAGGGCAGGTGCCTCGGAGTGTGATTGCTGGGTGCCAGTCATTCTTACAAGATGAAAGCACATCCACACTTTAGGGGTAAGTGGGTAGCATCACAGAGGGAGGTGGGAGTTGGGGCTGTGGCCTGGGCTATGCTGTCTGGAGACTGTAGGACCTTAGCCAAAGGCCTTTTCTGGGTTGGTCTCAACAACAGGGGACCGGAGAGGACAGGTCCAGCCCTGAGCAGGGACCTGCACGCCCACCTCCTCTCTGGGGAAGGAGCCAAGGTTTCTCTGGCACCTCTGCTGGAGAGAGATGATGGTGCCCCACGTGGAGAGCAGAGAAGGGACGGGACATGGGCATCTGCCCTGGCTTTGGCTCCCTGACCAGGGCCCCTTGCTGCTAAGACAGGAAGATACCACCCTCCTGCTGTACTTGCCACCAATTTCCATTTGCACTTTAATGTCTACACCGCTTTATTGTATCTCCTTAGACTTGCAAGTAAACCTTAGCTAATTCTAATGAGAGCCATGCAAAGCTTAGCCAGAAATTTGATTGTATTTACTAAAAAGCTAATAAATATTTACTACAAATTTCATTGCTCCATAAAACTGAAGACTGCACCTTCTATGTGCTTTCTCAGCTGAGAGGCCAGGCCGAGGGAGACGGGGAGATGGACTGGAGGGAGAGGGAAGGATCCGGCTCTTGTTCCAGCTAAACGGTGATCCTCCCTCAGTGTTTTCTGTAATGAGAGCTGATCACTCCCAGCGCTTTTGATCTGAGCTTGATCGTCTTATTTGGAAAGCAAGCTTTCTTACAAGGCTTCATTTCAGTTGCAATTCCAAACCAGATCTCTTTGATTATGCATGGAAAGCTTACAACATTTTCCGCTGAGACAGTTTTTGAATTAACTGAAAACTTAGCAGTTTTGTAAATTTTGAATTGTAGATTTCTGGCTCCCCTTCTTGGTCTCATAAGTCCATCGATGGGTCTTTCTAAATCTGAAATTTGCCATCGGCTGAGTCCTCGAAGAAAGATATATACCCTTGACATTTAAAAAAAAATTAATGGAAAATCACTAAATCCCTTCAAATGCTACATCGAAATGTAGTTACAGCTCTTTCCCCATGCCCAGTGAGGATTTAATCAAGCAAGCTCTTAATGTTTAATATTGAAATCTTTATCCAAGAGACCCCAAAAAATATTTTGCAAGGGGCAGCTTGGCATTTCCTAAACTTGCTGACAGCACCCCCGGCTCTAATTTGGAGTTGTAGCAACTGGAGGATGACCCAGTGACCCTGACTTTTACCCAAACTCAAAGTCTAGGGCCCCAGAGAAGGTCAGAGCCCCAAGGGCAAAAGCGTGGGGTGAGGGGGCTGCTCTGGGAATTCCTCAGCCACCAGTTCCCACTTCCTCCAGAACCCTCAGCGGCCCCAGAGCCTCTAATTGCCCGAGTCACGCTTACTAACGCGCATTGGCCAGAGCACATTTCCATGGCCAAGGCCAGAGTTAAGGAGTGAGAAGTAGACTCTTCCAGATGGAAGGAAGATAAAAGCCACATGCAGAAGGGCGTGGCTGTGGAGACAGGAGGAAGGTGTGGCATTCTGCAGTCCCCACAGAGCCCCACCTGGGCCACATTTACAGAGCTGGCATGCCCATCCCCGCTGCCTTGAGTGGTGGCTGCTGGCAGTCACAGCTGCTTCCCTCCCGGAGAACGGCCTCGGCTGACAGGAGCCCTGCGCCCGGCTCTAGAGCCCTAGTCCTCTCTGCCGGGGCTGGGGTCACGGCCAACGGCTGACTCAGTCGAGGGTACAAAAGGCTGCCCCATCTTCACGTCGGGGCGACTCTGTGGTGTGATTTGTGTTCCTGAGCCCACCGGGCATCAGTCCAGGGCTAACCTTGACCTGAGCCCAGCCCTGCTCAGCTCTCTCCCCTTCCTTCTCCGTCCCGCCTTCCTCCCCCCTCAACAAGCCACAAGCCACATGCCCCACGTCCCCACCCCGGTTCCACTTCCAGGGAACGCAGGTGTGGGGACTGTGTTTTCCAAGGGTGGCCCACTGGTGCTTCCTGTCCTGCGTGTGCATCTCTCCGCCGTGAGAGGCGAGGTCTGTGCCCCTCCCGAGCGGGTGGTGACTTGCTAATAACCAGTGGGGCCTGGCGAAGCGACGCTCTGCGCCCTAGACTACTGGGTTCTCAAAGGGGACGCAGCTCCTGTTTTGCTGCTGGACACCCCTCTCGGAGGCTTCGGACAGACCCACCGCCTTGAGGCTGCCTTGCTGTGAGGGGCCCCAACGGGCCCAGGCGGGCCGAGGCCTGGCCAGCCCCGCACCGCCCAGGCTGCAGCCATCGTCTGACTGCAACTGCGGGAGAGACGCTACCCAGCTAGACCCTTCCCGAATTCCTGGCCCACAGCAGTCTTGAGAGATAATAAAATGGTGGTTGATGTTTAAGCCATTGTTTTGGTCCACTTCTTTGAGCAGTACTGGAGTCTGTCCGCTGACCTCAGACTGTGTGCATCGCCCTCTGGTCAGGGGGAACACAGGCTGGGACCCTGTGTCCAAGCCGCCGGCCCTCCGCGCCCACCCTGCGCAAGGCGAATTGTATCCGTGTGCGTCTCTGCCCTGGGCCGCTTTAGGACTGTTAGCTAGGGCCCGGCAAGTCAGGGCTTCGTGTCGGTAGCAGACACACCTTCTTTTCTTCTCTAACAAGCTGTTCTGCCCCTGTAACCTCTCTTTCTCTAGAGTATCTAGAGGAGAGAAACTTCCAGAACAGCAGGTGCCTCTGTGGATGTCCGGTGGAAGGGTCAGTGGTGAGGTCAGTTGACGGTGTGTTCCTCGGTGGGAAGTCTGGAGGTGTACCTGTTTCCGAGGGACAGACGTTTGTCTGGGCTTCCTCTCAGACTGCCGGCAGGCCCCATCCCAGGCCTCGTGGCCCTGCAGGGGGAGCGCAGTTTTCGAGGAGCAGGAGAGCAGCAGGGCCAGGAAGGATGCGGCCCTGCGCTCAGCGCTCTTGAGAGGATGCATCTTCAAGGTGGTGGCGTTTATTCCCAGTCCCCCAGGCTGCTGCACTTCAGTCTTCACTTAACAGCAGAGTCTGGAGGACCAGTGGTGGGGGAAGAGTGAGCCACTTTGCTCTGGGGAGGGGGTGTGAGGATGGCAGGGGTGGCATGGGGAGGGAGGGGAATGGCTGGGGGGCGGGGTGGTATAAGGGACGGTGGGGGTGAGTGACGGATAGCAGGGAATGGCATGGGGGAAATTCTGGCACTTTTGAAATTTAGGCCGGGCGCGGTGGCTCACTCCTGTAGTCCTAGCACTCTGGGAGGCTGAGGCGGACGGATTGCTCAAGGTCAGAAGTTCGAAACCAACCTGAGCAAGAGTGAGACCCCGTCTCTACTATAAATAGAAAGAAATTAATTGGCCAACTAATATATATAGAAAAAATTAGCTGGGCATGGTGGCACATGCCTATAGTCCCAGCTACTCGGGAGGCTGAGATAGCAGGATTGCTTGAGCCCAGGAGTTTGAGGTTGCTGTGAACTAGGCTGACGCCACGGCACTCACCCTAGTCTGGGCAACAAAGTGAGACTCTGTCTCAAAAAAAAAAAAAGAAAGAAAGAAAAGGAAAGAAATTTTCCCAGCTTCAATGCATAGAGTTAAGAGATGCTTCTGGATTTTGCCTAATTGTGAGAAGCACTGGGAGTTGTATGTTTAGGCTATCTTTTTTTTTTTTTTTTCTGAAAAAATGGGAGAAGTTAAAGAGTGGGGAAGGAAAGGCAGCCACATGAGTGGGCTCACAGGAAGGTAGCTGCAGTTAATACCCCCAAACCCAGGTAAGCAGCTTTATTAGGGTTCACAGGTTCAACAGGCTCAGACTAGATTCCAATATTCAACTGTCCAGTGGATGTTATGA